AGCTGACTGCTGTTCTTCTGCGGTCTATAGCGTTTACATTTGTGAAGTGTTTTCTATTCTCTTATTTCATCAGACTTCACAGCCGGCTAGTTGAACTAGACTGATAGTGCCGTCCTCAGGGCGAGACATGAGCCACGGGGAGAGGCCAGCTAACTTGCCCACATCAGACGCTGAGCTGGTCACAGAGCCAGGCTTCAGTTTTAGGGCCGCTGTCTTTCAAGGACTGCTAAACTGAGCTGTCGCCTCCATGTTATCCAGCAGGATCTGGGGGACTAAGCAGAGGGCTGTGGGTGGGGAATGACAGGGCTGTCCGCCATGTGGCTGGATGCCGGGTCCTGCAGGTTATGAGAACACGAGGGCCCCAAAGGGACTTCGAGACATCTGGTCATTGGGTCGTCGTACATGCAGGATCCTTAAAATGAACACTTTCCTACTCACGTACTTTCTTGCTTTGATTATATTTTTTAAATGTCGTCCAAGTAGTTGAAGAATGTTCCTGGGCACTTGGCAACTTTGAAGATCTGGAATTTTTTCAAGACCAGAAGATTATTCAGTGTTCACTGTGCTGAAGGCTCAGCCACCACTGTGCACTCTGGGCCCAGGGAACTTCCCTAATGTCATTGTCAACCGCAGCAAAAACACGTTTTAAATGTTTTTAAAAGAGCATTGAGTGTCAGTTAAATTCACGTCGCACTGCTGATTTTGCGGTGATTCTGGAGTGGCCGCCTGTTTGGGGCGCTGCAGCATTTGCGAGGACCCAGAGCAGATGCTCCCGTGATGGTGTGGCCCGGTCTCTCCAGCCGAGGGCCGTGAAGCTTTGCGGCGAACCAGTGCCTTCTGCTTCTGCCACACCCTGCTCTTTTTACAGGCGGAATCTCCTTTCTTAAATGCCTGAGCAGAGATCACGTTTACTTCAGAGACGTGGCTCTGAGCCCCCTCTTCTACCTGCCCCCGAGATTGTACAATTGTATGCAGCTTTCCGGAAACGTCCTCCCCACTTCCCACATAGGTAGAGTGAACCAGGAAAGCAATTAGAAGGAACCTGGGCAAACTGGGAATTTGTGACGTGGAAAAGAAAACATTATTAAAGTGATTATTGTAAATGGAAACAGAAATGGAGCATCTTTAGAAAACGTACTTAGCAGAGTGTGGTTTTCTGGAGTTTTCTGTGACAGCGTGTGCAGAACCATTGCACAGGTACTGTTGGCTGGCTTTTTTCTATTTCTCCTCCTGATCACCTTTTGAACTGCTTCATACAGCCGATCGTGACCATTATTGTCCTTTATTTTTTTTTTTATAGCTGGGAAAGTGTCAGGATTTGAAGGACAAATAATTGTGTGGTGTCAGAGTCAGAAATAGCATCCGAGTTCTGAGCCATGATCATGGCTGGACCGGGCTCCGCCTGTCCTCTCGGCTCCCTCTGGGGACCACTGCTTTCCTGGGGCTTGGCTGTCCCACCCCAGAAGGTGCCGGCCAGGAACTGACCGTGAGCCTGTTGATGTCTTCACTCACTGAAGAAAGTAAATGATGCGCAAACTCAGAATCATAGAACACTCCGGTACTGCCCTGGAACTTTGGACCCGACATAATGCCGTTGTTTTAATTGATGGGTGTAGAAGCTAAAGGCCTTCAGCCTCCCTGTGACCTCCCCTCACCCCTCACCCCCGAAGCATTGTGCTCTTTTGTTCAGAAAAGCCCCATCACTGTGATGATTCTCTGTTTCAAGAAGTGCAACCTGAAATTTGTATTTTCTGTAATTATTATTAAAGTAATAACTGGTTTAAAAAGTATAAAGGAGACTTATAGATGATGTGTTGCCAGATTTTTTGTTTGGAGAAAATGCAATAGTAAATTGAACAGGTCGTCTTCGTGGAACCAGGCCAGGACTAGAACCTCATCACTAAAAGAAGTGATTATTAATTGATCCCATGAAATGGACTCCTCCTCAGAACCTTGTTAGACTCAGATTGGTTTTTTCGTCCTCATCTGTTTATGCAGGTGATAAACTGTTCTAGATAGAGATGTGAACTTGCATTGTGTAAATAATGATCTAAATAATCACAGATGTTACTCATTTTGATTAAAGGATCTTTTTTCTCTTCTCTCAATGGGATAGTCTGCAATGTCGGCAGTTATGTCTGTAGGTTTAATTAACTTAAAAAGAAACCAAAACCAAATGCATAGAATTCATTAACGCAAGCTCATCTAACATTTCAACAAAGACATAAGTACTTTTTTGCCGTTAAGCACATTGTACTGGTTGTTACATCATTTAACTTTGAAAAAGGTAGTGGTGTCGCAGCTCTTATGTGTTTGGGACTTTGCTGATAAGTTCTTCATGAAGGAAGGAATGGCTTTGCCTGTCGTCGGACGGGCTCCCAGCTCCCGCTCACCGGTATTCCAGGAATATTGCAGAGGAGACACTACTGGTTTGACGATCCTTCAGATTCACCGCTTGAAAACACAATACTGCACATCACGGGAATACGGCCCGCTCAACAGAGACGTTGGGGTCCTTTTCCGAAGTTAAGTTGGTTAGGCACCACCTTATTGGCTCTGAGGGATACCCATTAAAGACGGGGCACTTAACTCAGGCTTAACTCAGTAAATCGGCCTTTTTGATTAAATTTGTTCTCTGGATTTGCACAACTGAAAATGAGCTATGGTAAGTTACCGTCATTATATGTGTCCCGATAGCAAGGTGGCACCAGACAGACATCGCAGGACTCCAGAGTGGGGGTCGGGAAGCTGTGCTGATTCATGAGCAGCCTGGGGTTATATCCACAGGTGTTTCTGATGCTTTTATTATGCAGGACTTCAGTAAGGTGATAAGGTAAGGTAATTTGCACCAGCAATATTTGCCTATTTTAAGTAGAACCTAAATAAAAACAAGCGTATAAATATTTTATATCATTCTATTTCCTCTTGTCAGTTCCACTTAAAAAAAAATCATAACCTGTTATTCTCTTGTGCCTTTCCCCAAAATTTAGATATGTGATTGGTCTCAACATAGTCAGTTTTTAAAAAGCCACACCTTTAAAGTAGTCTTGCTTGCCGAAAATGGGGCCTGTGATGCTTTTTACTGTAAGAACTTAGTTATCTGGAAGCAACCTAAATGGCAACCCATAGGGGGTTAGTTACGTAAAGTATAGTACATACTCCACAGTGGAAGACTATGCAGCCATCAACGGGGGTGATCTGCACTGATATGAAGTGATCTCTAGGTTGCATTTTTTTTAAGTGACTGAAAAAGGCCAGGTGCAGAACAGTGTGTATACTGTGATTTGTGCTAAAGTACTTGTGTCTGTGTACAGCGATACCCAAGGAACGGAACCCCTGGGGACCGGGACCAGGTGGCAGGGAGTAATGGTGTGATAGAGGCTTTTCACCTTAAGCCTTTCGTGCCGCTCGAATTCTGAACCAAGGAAATGTGTTCCATGTTCAAAAAGCAAATACATAGATGGATATTTAAATACATAAATAGTAGACTCTTGTAATAATCTTAGCTTCAGAAAATGAAATTTGATTATCTAGAGTAGCACTGCCTAATAGAACTTTCTGCACCATCCAACACAGCAGCCACAAGCCATGTGTGGCTTGTGAGCACTCGGAAGATGGCCTTGTGCAACTGAGGAACTAAATTTTGTAATTTTCTCTAATTTTAACTAATTTACATTTACATAGCTATGTGTGGCCAGTGGCTGGCACATTGATCGGGTGCAGATCTAGACTATATGGCTTAGAGTCTGTCTTCTGTTTCTGACTAAAGTTGAGATGCATTTTAGGAGAAATAATCATCAGTTTAGGCACTTCAGGTAAAATTTATTACTGCAAACCCAAGAAAATGCCTACATTTTCTTTTTGCCCTAGAACTTGATGCTATCCCATATTTCTTAAAATAAGTGGTGATTAGTCAGATTTGGAAATCCTCTTTATTACCCAGGAAAATCGCGTTTATGGAAACCGCCTATAGTTTCCTTGGAAGAAGTCCGTTTCTGAGACGCTCATCTTCTCGTCAGTGTGTGTCTCCGCCCAGGGCACTGTGCAGGCACTTTGTTCTTGAGCCCAGCAGCTGCTTCGAGACTGGGGACAGTTTGCATTCTTAGCCAGCAGCTGCCAGGAGCATTTCTAATCTGGTTATGGCAGGAAATAGCACACAAGTGGAAGCCAAATTAAAAGATGCTTGAAAAATAAACAGAATGACTTTGGATGCCACTTAATATGCGGTCCATCTTTCCCCTGGTAACTCGCTAGCGTGACTAGACTGTGAGCCCTTCCAGGCAGGGCTGCGTCTGACTGTCTTCGAAATCCAAGGTCGTTATTGCTGCTGCTCTTATTTTTTATTTTAATGATCGACAATAATGCACATTTTTTTAATTGATTTAGTTACTGTCTTAAAACTGTTGTTCATTCAAGATAACTCGTTATCGATAATTAGTGGTGACAGGCCTCTTCTCCCTTCCCCTTTCTGCCACACACCACCCGCCCTCTGCTCAAAAGTAAGACATTCAAACAGTCTTTAAACATTATTTCTTCGTTCTGCAAGCAAGCTTATTTTTTGTCATATGCAAGGGATAAGCATGTCCTGATTGAATCTATCTTTCCTACAAAGTACGAAGTTTTCAGAAGGTGAAGGCACAGGTGTAAATGTGGTATGTACCTTTGGAAACCGAAGGCAAAACTGAGATCAGTACACCAAATTAATGATTTTTCTTTTTTTGTCTCTAAAGAGGAACCTTTACTGAAATCTTACCTTGGGCCTCAAATCATTCTTTCCATCAAATTCTATTTGGTGGTCCAAGGAGCTCCAGCCCCTTAGACTCTCCAGGACGTGTGCGGTGCTGGGCGTCATCCCCTGGAAGGGCCACGGGCCGAGCTCAGCTGCGTATGGTTCTCGGGCAGGCATTGTCCCCACAGACGGGCGGTGGGCGGAGCGGTGCCGGGTGCCATCCCACGGCGGGGCCGTGGGCGGAGCTGAGCTGCGCGTGGTTCTCTTGCAGACCTTTACTGCCTGGTGCAACTCCCACCTGAGGAAAGCTGGCACGCAGATCGAGAACATCGAGGAGGACTTCAGGAATGGCCTGAAGCTCATGCTGCTTCTGGAAGTCATCTCAGGTTGGTCTGAAGCATTTTGTGTCACTGTCACACCCCCTCCTGTACTTGTGTGTGTATCACGAGTTCTCTCTGACCCTGGCTGAGCAAGAACATGGTATTTTTGGCCAGGAAAGCCTTTCAAAGAGCAGTCTGACTGGAGTTATTTTTCTGTTTAAAAAGGAGTGAATTTTGTCTACGGTAATGCCACCCTGAACAAGCCCGATCCTGTTTGATCTTGGAAGCTAAGCAGGGTCGGGCCTGGTTAGTACTTGGATGGGAGACCGCCTAGGAAGACCAGGTGCTGTAGGCATAAAAAATAAAAAAATAAGGGATTGTAAGCTGACAAGATCCTTGCAATCTGTGAGGGTTGCCTGGCCTAAAAAATAAAAATAAATAAAATAAAAAGGAGTGAATTTTGTTTAAAATTGACTCATTAAAATAATGTTTATACCATCCACCTTGTAACAAAATAAGAGAAGAAAAAATTGACATTGACGTGACTGCCCACCACGCTGCCCTCTCCACTCTTAGTCCGGTGAGTGTGTATTGCAGAAATTGTGCAAAAAGCCAGCATGCGTGTCGTCACGACTATGGAAGCAGGAGTTCAGTCTCAGCGGCATCAGGCTCTGCCCTGGACTTCAACTGGGGTGTAGAACTCTGCACTGGAGAGTGGCTCACACCTGAAGTGTGGCTGGGGAGGAAGATGGCAGGTCTGCCCGGTCCATCTGTCTTCACGATCAGTTGTCTGAGCTGAGTCCTGGCAGCCACCTCTGTGATTTGACAAGGCTGCCCTGAGTTCTTCCGACAGCTCTTCGGCAGCCCCGAAAGCTCCAGGGACACCCAGCGGCTCTCTCATTGGCTCGTAGGTGGCCCGGGCTCTCCCAGCAGATCTGGAAAGCATGTTGCCTCAGGAGCATGGCTCCTCGCTGGTCCATTTGATCTTGAAAGTTCATAGTTAGAGTCCCCCGTGCTGTGGTTTAGGGACGGGGCCCGTCAGAAACACATAACCATTTCCACGTAAGGAAAGCACGACTCTGAGTTTTGGCATCTTGATTTTGCATCAAGGGGCCACTTTCTCTGTCTCTACTGTTCTTTTTTTATCCTATAGGGGAAAGGCTGCCCAAACCTGACCGAGGAAAAATGCGATTCCACAAAATCGCCAATGTCAACAAAGCCTTGGATTACATAGCCAGCAAAGGCGTGAAACTGGTGTCCATCGGGGCTGAAGGTGAGCTGTGGTGGGGATAACCCTGATGCCACGCTGACCTCTTGGCGGGGCCGTGGGCCTGCACGGGCACCTGGTGCTGCCAGGCCCTCCGCTAGGCTCTGGACACTCACAGATGAGAACAGATGTGCCGGGAATGGCAGACCAGGCTCCAGGATCATTTGCGAAGAATAGAGTCACATATAATGCCATCTTCTTCAAACCGATTATAGGAATGAGAAAGAGCTCATATATCCCAATGACCCTTAGAACTAGTGAATAGGGGGACGTGGCCCCTTCGTCCTCTGTGGGAGATCAGGAGCCCCGGCGAGCGGGCGGGAGCTCAGACCAGCCTGCCTCTCACTCAGCACAGCTGCGCCTGTGAACCCGTGAACCCGCCAGCCAGGGAGCTGGAAGAGGGACCGGGGTAAAGATGGGCCTGCGTTCCCCGTGGTTCATTACGGCGGTCCCCTGGACCCGCGGTTTCACTTTCCGCGGCTCCATTACCCATGGCCAACCATGGTCTGAAATATTAAGCGGAAAATGCCAGAAATAAACAATTCAAAAGTTTTAAATTGCGCGCCGTTCTGAGTGGCCTGATAAAGTCTTGTACTGTCCTATTAGGTTCGCTGAAGGAGGAACACACAAGGCCGAAGGGGTTAGGTGAGGTTTATCGTAGCAAGAGTGACAGCCAGGCTGAGCGGAGATGGCGTCAGCCCTGAACGCGGGGGGACCTGAAACTTACATGGGGCTCGAGGTGGGCTTTTGCGGTGGGAACATTTTGGGCGGGTAAATTGGCGGAGAAGGGAGGAGAGCCCAGTGAATCGGGAGGTGAGCATGTAGCGTTGCCAACCCGGACGTCGCAAGGTCCGGCCCCACACAAGCAGTAAGGCAGGAGTCTGGCTCCCACACTCCGCGGTGAGGGCTGGGGCCTCCTGCGCCCAACACATCCCGTCCGTCCAGGGTGTGACTCATCCCTTCGCCCCTCGGCTCCAGGCCGTAGATGTTCCCTGCCCATTAGTCACTTAGTAGCTATCTCGATCATAAGATCTACTGTCACAGTGCTCATGTCCAAGTCACCCTTACTTTATTTAATAATGACTCAAAGCACAAGAGTGGTGATGCCGGCAGCTCAGGTACGCTGAAGAGAAGCCGTGAAGTGCTTCCTTATTTAAGTGACAAAGTGTGTATGTACAGGAAAAAAACATAGTGTGTGTGGGGGAGTTCTGTACTACCCTCAGATTCAGGCGTCTTCTGGGGGTCTCGGAACGTGTCCCCACAGATAAGGGGCTTGCTCATCTAGTCTTTAAATTTTGGAAACTCACGGGTATTTTCAGTGATTATGCATGTGCAAAACTCGTGCTTATTATTAATTCAGAATTCATTTAAATCAGAGACATCTGGTTATGAATATCACATTTGTAACTAGACACACTGTGATACTTATAAAAATATAAACTGGTTTTTCCATATATATTTTTTCCAATATCTCCGGAGTCACAACTCGTGGGAGACATAGTTTATAGGAAAACTTTATCCACTCGTTATGTTATCTGTACATGAACGTGTTGTTGGATTTGTCCCTTAAAGAAATCGTTGACGGCAACGTGAAGATGACGCTGGGCATGATCTGGACTATCATCCTCCGCTTCGCCATCCAGGACATTTCAGTCGAAGGTAACGGACGTGGCTAAAAATCCAACTATATTACGAGACTTGGAGTAAATTGTAAACTGAGCTTACAAGGTAAAATTTGAATACAGTTTTATAAAATTGAACGCTTACGTGATCGAATGAAAGATATGTAAGTTGGTTTTTCACAAGTTTTATATTTCTACGGGAAAAGACCCCGGCAGTGCGTTTTCATTCATGGGGGCGGAATCGTTTTGGAAAACATGAGCACATGTTCAGAACAGAAGTCTCTTTTGAAAATGAACAGTTTTTTGAGCTTCTTTATTGCTTATTATACCAGTATATTCACAGGTATAACAGAGTTCTTTAGACTTACAGCTGAAACACTTATTTTAGGTGCAAAAAAATCTAAATCCATGTTTGTTTGCTTGCCTCCTTCCTTCCCTTCTCCCTCTCTCTGCCCCCTTCTTTCTTCCTTTCCTTCTTTCCTTCCTGCCTTCTTTTCTTTCCTCCCTCCCTCCCTTCCTTCCCTTGGCCTAACAGCCATTTGTCATTGTAATAGAGACCCACTCCTTGGTGCTACCCCTAAAGATGAAAATCTTTCGTTTTTTTATGCCTGCTATACTTCTAAATATTTTGATGACTTCAGCACTGTTGAAAACTGTCAAATTGACATTCTTAAAATTAGAACATTGCTTATTTAGGCCTCAAATCACAGAGCATGTCATCGCAGAACATATTTAAGGGCAGTTTGAATTGTCCAGTTAACTTTGCCTCCCCTAACTTTGTCACCTAACAGGTAACTAGATACCTGAATGAAGAGGGGTGAGGGCATTGTTTATAATTCTCCTCAGGACGATACCCTCTGACCTTGGTCTTTTTAAATGATTTTAGTTACTAATCTATCAACAAACATTAAAAATCAGCAGTTTGCCTACCATTGTACCAGATGACGTGAAGCCTACGGTACTTGCCCCGAAGGAGTTTCTGATCCACTTAGATTATTCTCTTCTAGCACTGAAGCTACATTTACATGACCTAAGATAAAATAATATCAAAACCTCAATGATTTAGGCTCGGGAACGACAGCCAGCTTGAATTAATATATAGTCCGAATTTAAAAACTTTGTACAGTGTACTTTTAATAAAGTACACTCCTTTCATGCTAATGAAAATAACAAGATGCTTCTTAAAAGTTTTTGCTTTATTAAAAAAGTAATATCTAATAATTTTATAAATTTGATATACTTCTAAATTTAAATATTTAAACAGTTGAACCTACTTTATAGAACAGATACTATTTTTAAAAAATCTTGTTCACACTAGTGCCTTTGCTGGAGTAGCAGATCCTGTTTTACAGAAGTGAACTTGACCTCAGGTTTTTTTCTCACTGGTTACAAACTTCAAATTGCGATGATATTAATTTAAAACTTAATTCTGTTTCAGGTGTAGCTATGAATGGTATTATCCATTAGAGAGTTTTCCCCAAATTATTAATGATAATTATGTAATCAAACTATAGTAGTGTCTAAAATATCACCATAAAAAGACATATTAATCTGCTTTTCAGAAGATCAGAAATTTTAAATATTCAAAATTTAGCCATGTGTCTAAACCTCTTCGAGCAGATGTCCTTCAGTGACCAACATAGTAAGTGATGTTAGTTTGCTAATTTATGTTTGTATTTGTTTTACTTTATGGAGTCATTTTTGCAACAACTTCACTTAATTTCTGTAAGTCTACAGTAAAATCATCTTAATTTGTTTTCATAATGTATGTTATATAGAAAAAGACATTATTGCAACCGAATTTTTCGAGGAGCAAGTTTCCTTCATCAGAATGATGAGTCTCTTACGAGAAATAAATGAGAGCGTGCTGAGTCTGGTGGTGGGCGGTCCAGATGCCAGGACGTGGGGTTGCATGATGGAATGACATTCGGTGCTGCACGATGGAATGACAGCGGCACCGCCTGTCTGTAACGCGCGTTTCACGCCCGCAGTCAGGGTTTCGTGTGTGGACACGTGTGTGTGCCAGTGGCCACGTTCTGGCCCTCGCCAGCAGCAGAATATCCCACAGTCACGGACACATTTGGCACAGGCCCGTTGGCTTTTCGCTGCAGGCCTGGGTTTGGGGGTGCGAGAGTTGTCTTCGATGAGAACAGCCAATGAAACGGGGAGAGAACTTCGTTCTACATTCATTCCTAAGACGTTCAGACGCGGTCCAACAGAGGTTGGGTGAGGCTCACTGACTCGAAAGTCTGAACTTCAGTAGCATTATAAGATTTTATTGGACCGCTCACCTCTGTTTACTTCCCTAACCTAAGTTTCATTTAAACTTTATAAAATAGAGCATTATTTCCTCCCAGTGTAGTTTTCCTTACTAGTGACATCGGCCAGGACCCAAAGGCAGGCGGTTCAGGGTACAGCCCACAAGTAGGTATGGATTTCGCATTTCAGCTTCTGCGCCAGATAGTGTGCTGATAACGCTTTAGAACGTTCAGTCTTACTCATTTACAGGAATTTGCTAGGTCAGAGACATAGGTAGGAGTCATTCAAATTCTCTTATTGCACATGAAATTTGGGTAGTGTGTTTATTTCATCTGGGTTATGTGCGGGGGGAAAGTCTGAACTAGATTGGACAATTTAGAGAAATAACAACAGAATACTTACTTTGATTTGAAAAGTCACCCTCGAGCCCTTACTGAAAGGGAAGTTGAGGGTCCAGTGTTAGTTAACAGTCCAGGTGTTTACAGGGCTTTCAAAACTGTTAACACCTAAGTCAGGCAGAAGCCTGGGTTACGTTAGTGGCTTCGAGCTGTTTGCCGTGTGTAGCCGTGTGTCCTCCAGCAGCATGGGCCGCGATGGGAGTAGCAGGGGTCTGCTCAGGCCAGCGAAACAAAGCACCAGATCGAGTGGCTTCAACAATAGAACGTTACTTCTCACACTTGTGGGGGATGGAAGTCCAAGCTCAGGGCGCCAGCATGGCTGGTTTCTGCTGAAGGCCCTTTGTTGGCTTGTAGACGGCTGCTTCCTTGCCGTGTCCTCACATGGCAGAGACATAGAAAGACAGACAGACAGACAGTGTGTGCACCTGTGCATGCAAGCTTTCTGCTGCCTCTTCTTAAACGGGCACTAGCCCCATCATGACCTCATGACCTCATATAACCTCATAAAACCTTGATTACCTCTCAAAGGCTCCATCTCTAAAAACCGTCATGCTAGGGGTTAGGGCTTCAACCTGTGAAATTTGGGGGAACATGAACATTCAGTCCATGACAGAAGGACAAGAGATTTGTTGGGGGGAGATGCCTGTGGAGGGTAAAGTCGGGGGAGCAGGAGATGGCAGAAAGAGCCTCCAGGCCAAAGCACCTGGCGGACACCTGGGCTGGAGGAAAGAAGGGAAGGCTTGGGGACCACGAGTCTCACTGCGCTGTGCCGACCTCATGCCGGTTCGGCCAGGCCGATGGGGAGTCCTTAAGCCTAAACTTCACTCAAAGGGCCCCACATATGGCAGGGATGTGCCCTCCCTCGCTCGGCCTGTGGCTGGAGCAGCCCGAGGAATTATGGCCTCTGGGATGTGCAGCGGTGGTCACTGTGGCATCTGGGGTGTCAGTGCCCGCCCTGTGCTCCCCGGGGCGGGACAGCCGAGCAGCACAGCTTCGTGGTGCCACAGGGAGTGGGTGTTTTTTTAACATGGTCAAAACTCAAGTGGCGAAACTTGAAACTTACCACCGAAAGCCTTTAAGTATTATAAAATCTCTAGATAAGGAAATAAATTTGAGACACAGTGGCCTCTGTGAATCCATTTACCTCAGAGTATAAATTATAAATGAGGTGAGTGATAGGTTAGGTAGGTCATAAACTGTACACATTTTAAAATTTTTTTATAAAAAAGGTAAGTTACCAATAACCCTGAAGTCATAACTTGCAGTTGCACCCGCAGTGTCCTTTCCGAGTCCCTTAAGTGTCATCAGAAGTCGGTCACTGGGTGCGGGGCCCCAGCTCCCACCCTCATGCAGAAACTACGAGAAGAGACGATGCGTTGGCGGCTGGCTCCCTGGGGGAGGGACCAAGGCTGGGTGACATTCCAGAAACCTCTGCCAAGGAAGGCCTGCTGCTGTGGTGTCAGAGGAAAACCGCCCCTTACAGAAACGTCAACATTCAGAACTTCCACACCAGGTGGGCCACCCAGGCCCTGGGTCCTCCCCTTCCCGCTGGGGTCACAGTGGCAGGGGACAGTGTGTGCTTACACCAGTGTTCCCCGCTCCCGTCCGAGAGGCGTTTATGTTTGTGGCAGGACTAAGGCCATTGACGTTTTGATGCTTCTGGTCTCCCAGGGGAAATGTGCGACTCAGGCCGAGGGTGCTGGCGGAGCAGCCCTGTACTTACCAGTGACAGGCGGGGCCGGGACGGGTGTCCAGGACGCGGGCGTGAGAAGCGCCTTCCCGGGGCCTTCG